TGGAGCATCCCAAGGACGGACCCCCCCAAGCATCCCAAGGACAGACCCCCCGAGCATCCCAAGGGCAGAGCTCCTGGAGCATCTCAGGGTGGGACCCCCCAGCATCCCAGGGCAAATTGCCCTCCGCATCCTATGCAACCCCCAACCCCCAGGCACCCCGGGGCAGGGGTGGGCACTGCTCTCCCCACGACCTTGGCTCTCAGCTGTAGGCCTGGCAGCCAGGGGAGCAGCACCCCAGCTCCTTCTTGCTCCTCTCACCCCCCAGGAGTGGGGCTGAGGATGCTGCTCCCCAACCCCTGACCATCCCCTGCCTGGACCAGGTTTCCTTTCCTCCCTTTGGCACTCGGGAGGGAGGAAGCATCCACTTTGTGTCTTGGCTTCCTTTTTCTCAACCACAGATGCCTTTTGTAACCTTGGAGAAGTCACTTAAAAACCTCCCAAGCCCTTCAGCCTCCCCTTCCTCCCCCTCCTTCCGCAGCGAACCCGGCTCTGCTGCAAAAAAAGCAGCGGCCGGAGGATTCCTGCATTAGGGATGCTGAGTGTTCCCAGCGGGTTGGCAAAAGTCACCCGCTGCCGTGACCCCCTCTCTGGGAAAGCAGCAGTTTCTGCCCAGGGCTGGGTGGTTGTTGACAAAGTGGTTTCCAAACTTCTGCAGCTGGATCAATACCAACCGAATTACTCCCCCCCCCACCCCCAAAAGTGATGGAACTGCTCCCCCAGCTCGCTGGCACCGGCAGGTCCGACCTGTCCTCTGGCCGTGCCAAAGGTCCAGCTGGCCCTGGTCCCCCTCGGTGGTGATGAAGCCCAAGAGGGCAGGTGAAATTTTTGCCTGTCCCTGCCTCCCAGTGGGTGATGGGAGGGAGGGGAGCTCTGCTTTTCCTTCATTTTCCTCCTCAATTAACAGCAGCGATTTAATAACGCTAACGGCAGCGCTCCTCATGGAAGGCTGGTTGAAACCTTGCTTTAGGAGCTTTTTGAAGCTGGTGGTTGTTGGAGACCATGCCTGCAGGGGTCTGAGGGACCCCCAGGAGCTCAGATCCTCCCTGCCCAGCTTCTTAAAATACCTCATCCCCTTCCCAGCCTGCTGGGACCGTGCGTGGGCAGGTAAAGCCCCATTTTCCCAATCCCTCCTGGGTGTTTTATTTACATGTAGACGCAGGAGAGCAAACCCTTCAGCCCCGGAGGCTTCCTGCCTGTCTGGGTGAGACCAAGCAGTGGGGGCAGAGTGGAAACCAGGCGGGATCCATGGGGTTTTCTCCCATCCCAGCTTCCCCCGACGTGATTTCGGGGAGGGGGGGGTTTAAGGACGGAGGTGCCTGGTGGGCGAAATCTCCTTTTTCCCCAGGGCTCACCCAAGCCTCACGTTAAGCGACCTCTGGTAGCTCTTCGGGGCTATTGCACCGCGTTTTCAATCCTCCTGCCTCCCCGAGTGATGAAATCAGAAGTATCTGTGCGGAAGCTGGCGGAGAAAGGAGGGGCTAACGGCTGCGGCCCTGCTCAGAGCTGCTTGGGAGAAACCACCCCTGAAAAACACCAGAACGGGCAACGTAAAGTGGCTTCCCTGGAGGACGGAGGTGGTGGGGGGCACGGGGGGCATTGCCGACCCCCCAGCCCCCTCCCATGGGCACCCTCTGTTGTCATCGGGGCGCTGCAGGAAGGTGTTTTCTTCCACCCTCTTTGCCTGAAGTTTCGGGCCGGGTTGTGCTGCAGGGAAAAAGTTATTTCTGGCGAGGAGCTGAGCCCCCGGCGGTTCTTACGTGCTGAAAGCATTATGCAAGACTGCGCCTTTAAAAGGGTATATTTTAGGAGGAGCCGCCGTGCGAGTTTGGCAAGGGTCCTTTTAGGAGACGATGCGCCGGGGTGATCTGCAGAGCTCCAAGGATGCTGATGGTGCCCAAATCATCTCAGCAGAGAGGTTCTGGGGCATCTTTTCCCTTGGGCTCCCCTCCAGGGTTTTGAAGGTGCCTCTAAGGGAGGGGGTAACGTTGCTTGTTCATGTTGTCTTGGCACGTAGTCCCCCGAGTGGCTGGTACAGCTGAATATTCAGGCTCCCTCTGCTCGTGACCTGCAAAATATATCTCCCTGCTCAGTGTCTGAACACCGTCCCCGTTCGATCCCCTCCCTGGATCAGAAAAGGTTGTGCAGGAGCAGCAAAATACGAGTTGTTTTGTTGTTTGGGTGGTTTTTTTTCAGCCAGGGATAGCTCTTACACAACCAGGCACTGCTGCACGCCCCTGCCAGTCTGTCTCCCGTGGCAGGATGAGGCACACACCTCTCCAGGCTCCCTAAATCGGGCAGGGTTTGGAGCTTGGAGGTTGCACGTACAGGGGAAGGAGGAGGATGAGCAGAGCAGGGATTTGCAACGCTTCCTCTCTCCCTCCCTGTCGCTGCGTCGGAATAACCCCTGTGAAATCCTGAGGTTTCCCCTCTTTTCTCCAAGAGGGGGGAATTGGTGCGGCGTGGGGTGTGCGTGACAGCTTGGCACCTCCCAACTTCCCTTCTCCAGCTTCTCCTCCTGCTCAGCCTGCCCCTTGGCTGGGTTGGGGCTGGCGATCGAGCCACGTGTTGCTGCAAACCCCTTGTCTTCAACCCTGCAAATGGTTTCTGGGTGTCCTCCACTGGCATGGTGCAGGGTGACCACGTAGAGGAGCTCAGAAGTGCTTACAAGGCTCTTCTCTGGGTCAAGGAGACGCAACCTGACCCTTGTCCTGTTGCTCAGTTTCCCCTTATCAGTCTTATCATAGAATCATAGAATTGCCCAGGCCGAAAGGGACCTCCAAAGGCCATCTAGTCCGACCTCCCCACAGTCAGCAGGGACACCCCCAACTAGACCAGGTTGCCCAGGGCTTCATCGAGCCTCTCCTTGAATATCTCCAGGGAAGGGGCCTCTTGACACTTCAGGCAGCTCTTCAGGCTTAACTGAGTCTGGGAGTTGTCCCTTCCAGGTGATTTATCCTCTCCCCAGCAGCCCTAACTGTGAGTTGGAGAAATCCAAGGTGTGAGCTGAGCCCTTCTCCTCTTGATGCAGTTTTTTTTTTGTAAAATGACTCAAAGGGGGTTGGTTCCTGGAGGACTCACCGGTGGCTTTGTGGGGACAGAGGGACTTGTCACCCAAGCGTGTCCAGCAGGCGTGGGCTGTTTCTGCTTTGCTAATCCCGGTAGAGGAGTGGAAGGCTGGTGCTGGCTGCTTTACTTAGTACTCATACGGTATTTTAAGGCTGTGTGGGAGAAGAGAGGGTGAGGGAACAGCTCCAACCCTGCCTTTCCCAAGCCCCACCAGCTCCGTGCAGACCACATCTGGTGGTGGCTTGGCTTTGCCGGTAAAACTGGAGAAGCTTTTGCTGCTGAGGGTTGCAACCAGACTTCGACTCAACCTGTTGCGTTGCTGCAGAAGGTCAGACCTTTGTGAAGCACCCAAATCAGAAGCCAAATCTCCAAGGTTTTGCGAGGATATTGGAAGGGTTTCCTTCGTGTCGTGCCCAAGGAGTGGTAGGGAAGGGCTGGGGTGGTGAGGTCTCTCAGCACATGAACCTGCTTTCTGGACTCTGAGAACTGACCTTTTGGCTCTTGAGTCTCCAGGCGACGTTCAGGGCTGTTCAGGTTGGACTGCAAATATTTTTTTCCGATTCAGGGGAAAGGGAAGAAGTGAGTCAGGAATGGAGATAACCGATTGTGATTAGCAGTCCCTTTGCTGGCTGTGCCGACACGGGCTGGGGCCCGGTGGCCAGAGCTCTACTGGAAACCATCAGCCCCACCTTGGAGAAGAGCTGGGGTTACCTCTGTCTTCCAAACACACCTCGTATTTCCATCCTTCCATGGAGACATGCCCTGTTGTCTCTCTGCGGGGCCGTCTGTTGTGGCTTGGCTTTGCCGGTAAAACTGGAGAAGCTTTCGCTGCTGAGGGTTGCAACCAGACTTTGACTCAACCTGTTGCGTTGCTGCAGAAGGTCAGACCTTTGTGAAGCACCCAAATCAGAAGCCAAATCTCCAAGGTTTTGCGAGGATATTGGAAGGGTTTCCTTCGTGTCGTGCCCAAGGAGTGGTAGGGAAGGGCTGGGGTGGTGAGGTCTCTCAGCACAAGAACCTGCTTTCTGGACTCTGAGAACTGACCTTTTGGCTCTCGAGTCTCCAGGCGACGTTCAGGGCTGTTCAGGTTGGACTGCAAATATTTTATTCCGATTCAGGGGAAAGGGAAGAAGTGAGTCAGGAATGGAGATAACCGATTGTGATTAGCAGTCCCTTTGCTGGCTGTGCCGACACGGGCTGGGGCCCGGTGGCCAGAGCTCTATTGGAAACCACCAGCCCCACCTTGGAGAAGAGCTGGGGTTACCTCTGTCTCCCAAACACACCTCGTATTTCCATCCTTCCATGGAGACATGCCCTGTTGTCTCTCTGCGGGGCTGTCTGTCGACACTCAGATGTCCCCAGCATCTGAGACCTTCCCATCCTCCTTGGAGCACCTTGGC